ACCTGGCAGTCCACCTATTATAAAAGGAAGGAAGGTATATTTGCTCAACAAACAAAAATAATTGCGGTCATAACTACAGCTGAAACCTTTAGACAACCTTTTAACCTCTATACTGACTCTAAGTATGTAGTTAACCTTTTTCCAGCCTTAGAGACTGCTCTGTTATCTGGAAGCTCAAAAAATTCTACTTTTATTACAAAAATTACAAAGTATGATTATTAACAGACAAAATAAATGTTTTATTAGTCATATAAGAAGACATACTAATTTGCCAGGTATACTATCTTTAGGTAATAAAATAGCAGACTTATTAACCAAAGAACAATTTATGGGAAACTCTCTGAGAAGGGAGCTGCCTGACAATATTCTGAAGACTCCCCAGCAGGGGACCTGCATCAGCCTCACTGTAGGGCAGTACCAGTAAACTCCCTGAGAGGAGACTTGCATCAGTCCAAACTCTCTGAGAAGGGAGCTGCCTGACAATATTCTGAAGACTCCCCAGCAGGGGACCTGCATCAGCCTCACTGTAGGGCAGTACCAGTAAACTCCCTGAGAGGGGACTTGCATCAGTCCCGGCTGCTTCTGCTTCCCCAGTCTGACCTCCCAACACCCTACTGCTCAATAAGGTGCACACTTCTGCCGAAGGTTTCTCCACCTTCTGTGCACACACAGCACTTCTCTGGGTTGTGTGTTCTTCAATGCTGAGTGAGACTGCAAAAGCCACTAAACACTTTTTACAGAAGGTTCATATCTGTGGGGTTCCTGTCCACAGTGAACAAACAGATGCCCAGGGAGAGGAGAGGTTTGAGCGAAGTTTCTGCCATGTACATCGGATTGTAGGGCACATCCCTAGTATGCATCCTTCAGCTCTGTCAGGTACGCCTCTACAAAGCACAAAAATAATCGAACACAAACCGCCCCCCAAACAACACATGCACAAATGTGCCGAAGAGATACAGTCCTCAAGAGCAAAATTAAAATGGCCAAAAAATATTTTTTAAAAGTATTCAACAGCTTTGTTCACCAGGGAAGTTCACACTAAAATGGCATTGAGATTCCATGGCATCTCAGTCATGGCTCTCATCAAAACAAAAATGACAACAGCAGCTGGTGAGGATGGAGGGGAAGAACTCTTCTGCAGTGCTGGTGGGAATGTAAAGTGGTACAGGCACTACTGAAATCAGCAGAGAAGTACATCAAAGTAGTAAAACTGGAACTTCTATGATGTGAGGACAGAAGCCAGCTATGCTACTGTTGTGTGTAGAAGGAAGCTAAATCAGCATATCATTCAGATTTTTGCATATCCATGTTTATTGGTACTCTAGTCATAACGAACAAGATTTTGAACCACCCGAGATGCGCATCCACAGTCCTGTGAATTGCAACCACTGGACGACTGTACCCATACCTCCTTGGGGCCTGAAGGAGGATAGCTCTCTCCTCTCCTTTACCCGCCATTGCTGTTTTTCCCCTTGGCTTCCTCCTCCTGCCTTGAGCCCTGAGGTGCTAGAGTTCCAGAGATTTCCTCCAGCACCGTTTTCACCTCCCTCTAGAGTCCCCCTGAATAATCTGATCCTGGCCTCAACTATGACCTCTACTAATGGCTTTCAAGTCTCCACCTTGAACTTTGACCTCTCTCCAAACCATTAGTTCCCATTTTCTAAGACCACTGGGAGTTGGGTGGGCAAGCTATTTTTCACCATGTCAAAAACCAAACATCAGTTGCGTCACTACCTTTGATGTCGCTTCCAAAAAGTAAACATCCTGAGTCCACTTCCCCCATTCATGCTCTGTATGCTCACTGTCCATATCATTTCACACTAATGTCATCGAGCACCTAGGGAACAGGCATCCACTACAGCAGCACATGCCATCCAATCCAGTCCTGGGTATTTCTAAGCTGTCTGATAACAGTGAGCCAGGAGAAAGAAATAAACTTGTGCCACGTACTGGACCTGCTGGTAAAACAGAGAGAAGGTATATAGCCAAATACCTAGTATAGCAGTGATTAACATACAGTTGGCCTTCCCTATCCAGTCCACATCCTCAAATTCAAACTAACTATGGGCACAAAGTATTTGGGGAAAATTGTATCCAAATTAAAGATGGGCATGTGCTTTTCTTGTCATTATTCTCTAAACAGTACAGTGGCACAACTACAAGCACTTAGGCTATATTGGGTATCATAAGCCATCTGGAGATGACTCCAAGCACATAGGAGGACGTGTACAAGTTCTATGCAAACACTATGCCATTTTGTAGAAGGGACTTGAGTCTGCATATTCAGGGATCCAGAGAGCCAGAGGAAGTACTCTGAACAACATGATGGGCGGGGTGAAGGAGGAGACATTGGTGGATCAGAGGAAACTTCGCAGAACTTTTGAATCTGGCTGGGAATGATGCAAAGAGATTTCAGTAAAAGTGTGTATATGTGTGTGTGTGTCTGTGTGTGTGTGTGTGCTCATGTGTGTGAAATAGTCACTTATGAGTTTGTGTGAGGGGACAGTGTGTATGTGTGTGGGGGACTGTTGGGAGCTATTAATCCATTACGTACATTGAGCCATGGCAGGCTTGCTTGTTTAGTTTGTGTTTTGCACACCAGTACCTAATCTGCCAAGTCAGGAGGAATGTGTTTATATGGTGGAGTTCACAATAAATATTTGACCGCTCCTTGACCCTCAGATACAGGTGGGAAAAACAGCTGTTGCAACTAATTGAGCTAAGCAAACGGTGGCTATCGCTGATGCAGTACTGTATAAAAAGGCGGAGCTAAAATAAACCGGGGCTGCAGTCTCTACTGACAGTCCTCTCAAGGATCTTTTCTGTCTCTTGTTTTTTCTTTCAATCCTCACTCCCCCTTTCAGGTACTGTCCGTCTTGGCCAGCTAGCACCGACAGGAGACAACAGGTGGTAGCGGGGAGAGTTTGGACAGATGCATGGATATAGACATGAATGCATTATGAGGGTATGTTTGCATGAGTCCACAAATATACACCAGGTACACACACGTACATATGTCTATAAGATGGAGTGCGCCCTGGGTGATGTGTGTGCAGGAGTGGGATATAGGTATATGTGGGAGATTTGTTTCGGTAGTGAGCAGACTTCTATGTATGTGAGTATGTGCATCTGTTAGAGGGAATATCTATGTGTGAGAGATTTACATATGTGCGTGCTACATGATATGTATGATATGCGAACGCCCATGTATGAGTGCAGAAGCAGGTGTGAGTGCCCCCATGCTGGGGGTTTGGAGTGGGTCAGGAGGACAATTTCAGAAAGCACTATAGGCTGGGTGAGCACAGAGCCAAGCATGGGGCACTTTCTCCTGGGCTGTCCTGGACTCCTTCTCTTTCTTTGCCATCACCATCTTCACTCCAGCATCTGCGCTTAGGCCTCACTGTGTGTTCCCAGGACCACAGGCCACACTCCACTCATTTTTCACTAACAGACAATGGCCTGATCTAGGGGTTCCCTGCTTCTCCCATTTCCTCTGTGTGCCAAGCCTCTGTGGTGTTTGTCTGACAATCTCTGGGGAACATTTTGCAAAACATGAAATAGCCTATGCAGCAGTATGAACTTACCTTCAAGATTTCTGATTGCTTACTGTATGGATCTGTCTTGAACTATCCAGGGCCTCATAGGAGACAATGGGAGACGGAAGCCAGCCAGTAGAACCCTTGTAGACATCAGGACCAGGACACCTCCTACAAACAACAGGTCCAGGACACGTCCTGCAGGCAACAGGAACAGGACACCTCCAGTAGAAAACAGGTCCAGGATAATTCCTGCAGAAAACAGGACCAAGACACCTCCTGCAGACAACAGGACCAGGACACCTCCTATAGACAACAGCACCAGGAAACATTCTGTAGACAACAAGACCAGGACACCAGCTAAAGACAGTAGGATGAGGGTACCTTCTTCATCAACAGGACCAGGACACCCCCTGCAGACAACAGACCAGGCACACCCTGTAGACAACAGGACCAGGACACTGACTGCAGACAACAGGACCAGAATACCTTCTTCAGCCAAAAGGTCCAGGATACCTCCTGCAGACAACAGGACCAGGACACTTCTTACAGACAACAGGACCAGGATACCTCCTTCAGGGAACAGGACAAGGACACGTCCTGTACATAATAAGTCCAGTGTTGGGATAAGTCGAGTGCCTGGAATGTAGAGCATGGCCGCCAGGTCAGATACCTTCCAGGGAGGGCGGCAGGAAGCTGGCCTATTCCATTCTAGGGACACTGTCTCTTACTCAACAACCCCCAAGCAAAACCATTAAGCCTCTAATCTTTTCTAACCAGGTCCCTTGTAGATTATATGACCGGAGGACAGGACAAAGACCACATAGCCTTAGTAGCACCCTTCCTCCCCCTACCTGCCAGCCTGCTGGAAAACCCAATTTTGCCCACAAAGCTTTCCTATACAAACCTCTGCTTCCACCATAATAAATGAGCTGTCCACTGACACAGCCTCCCGGGTGTTTTCTTCCCATCGTACTTGAGGCCACCCGAGGCCTCCCTCCCCCCACCAGTCTCTCTCCTCGCCCCAACCTTCTGCGATGGGGGCTGGTGTGCAACGGCCTCCCGGTAGCAGTGGGGTTTGGGCCAAGGGGGGGCCGGCAGTCCAGGACACCTCCTCTATACAACAGGACCAGGATACCTCCTACAGACAACAGGACCAGGACACCTCCTATAGACAACAGTACCAGGAAACTTTCTATAGACAACAGGACCAGGACACCTCCTGTAGACAACAGTACCAGGAAACTTTCTGTAGACAACAGGACCAGGACACCAGCTAAAGACAGCAGGACAAGGGTACCTTCTTTAGCCAACAGGACTAGGACATTTCTTACAGAAAACAGGACCAGAACACTGACTGCAGACAACAGGACCAGGACACTTCTTACAGACAACAGGACCAGGACACCTCCTGCAGACAACAGGACCAGGATACCTCCTGCAGATGATGGGACCAGGATACCTACTGCAGACAACAGGATCAGGACACCTCCTGTACACAACAGGTCCAAGACACCTCCTGTAGACAACAGTACCAGGAAACCTTCTATAGACAACAGGACCAGGGCACCTCCTGAAGACAACAGAACCAGGACATCTCCTGTAGACAACAGGACCAGGATACTTCCTATAGACAACAGGACCAGGACACCTCCTTCAGGCAACAGGACAAGGATATGTCCTGTACACAATATGTCCAGGACACCTCCTGCAGACAACAGGACCAGGACACCTCCTTCAGGCAACAGGACAAGGATATGTCCTGTACACAGTAAGTCCAGGACACCCCCTCTATACAACAGGCCCAGGACACCTCCTGAAGAAAACAGGACCTGGACACTGCCTGCAGACAATGGGACCAGGACTCCCTCTTCAGCCAACAAGACCAGGATACCTCCTACACACTACAGGACCAGGACACCTCCTGTACCCACATGTCCAGGACACCTCCTGCAGACAATAGGACAATGACTCCTCCTACAAAGAACAGGACCAGGACACCTCCTGTAGACAACAGGAACCATGACACTTCTTTAGGCAACAGGACCAGGACACCTCCTGTACACAATAGGTCCAGGACACCTCCTGTATACAACAGGACCAGGATGCTTCCTGTAGGCAACACGACCAGGACACCTCCTACAGTCTTACAGGACCAGGACACGTCCTTCAGTCAACAGGCCCAGGACACCTCCTTCAGACAACAGGACCTGGACACTTCCTGCAGACAACAGGACCAGGACACTTCTTACAGACAACAGGACCAGGACACCTCCTGTAGACCACATGTCCAGGCCACCTAATACAGACTACAGGAACAGGACACCTCCTGCAGACCACAGGACCAGGACACCCCCTGTATACAATAGGTCCAGGAATCCTCCTATATACAACAGGACCAGGATAGCTCCTGCAGACAGCAGGACCAGGACACCTCCTGCAGACAACAGGACCAGGATGAAACTTAGCAAATGTTGGCTGCTTAGTTACAATGAAGAATAGGGAAAGTGAAGAGGCCGCATCACTAGTTGCAGCTGAGTGTGGGATTTTTGCTGTTCCCCAGTCAATAGTGCAATCAAGGTGTCTCTCCATTAGAAAGAACAACTGGGAGGTGGTGCTATTCCATGCTGTGGTGCTCTTTCTGTTTCAAGGACTCATAGCCCTTTGTTCTCCTTAGAACTGTGTACTTCACTCAAAGTTGGAAGTCAGCTTAGGGAAGGCTGAGTGAAGGCTTCCAGGGGAGCACTTTTACTCTGTACTATCCTTACAATGCTCTATCGCTCTGTTGCTACAAACCAAAAGGCTTTTTGAGAAAGTTGGAGAAGCGATTTACTTTATGCTACCAACAGTGAATGTGTGTGTGTGTGTGAGAGAGAGAGAGAGAGAGAGAGAGAGAGAGAGAGAGATCAGTGCAGTGGCACGTATCCAAGCTGCACCGTTTTTCATGCTTGACGAAATGTCTAAAATGAAGCTTTATTTTGCTTTGTGTACTGCTCATGCAATGGGAAGCTATTGTCCTGCCCTCTCAGATGCATTGGCTGAAGAGAAGACACACAGGCAGTCATTTATTGGTCGGTACTCACCACGGTTCGCCCGGGACAACCCTGGTTTCCTCTGGAGTTGTCCTGGAGTCAGTCCCACCTGGCTTCACCTTTTAGATTCTCCCAAGAATCCTTATTGGGACAATACACAGTCTGGTTACCATTAGGGAGCTGTATCATGGAAGTCAAGGTTAGAACAACAGAGCGCCTCCCAGGACACATAAAATTGGGTGCACAGCAAGGCAAGCTTGGTAAAAGTCAGTTATCAGACAAAGTATTCTTATTCCCAGCGCCCTCATCATATCAGGCAGTAGGCCTGGAGCAGCTGACCTGTGAGTGTCCACACTCCGAGCACTGTCATCGGTGGTCACTGTCACTGTGGCTACTGGCAGGCAGAGGCAGGCTCACCAGCTGCCTTAGTCCTCATGCCCAGCTGTCTCCCAACACTCCGTGTGCATTCTGAAAAATTCCTTATTCTGTAATGCTCTACCACCTAATACCCACTGCAGAAGCAAACAGCTTCCAAGATTGTAGCCCCAGACTCCCTGGCTTTCTCCTTACCTCTAAGCCCACTGCTGTGTTGGACAATGGAATTCTACAACTTCCCACTCTGAAAATGCACAAGGCAAGAGCGTCCCATGACCCTTGGAAATAGACCTTGACTCCTTCCCCTGGCATTCAAGCCCCACCTCATTGAACTCATTTCCCATCAGAACTCCCCAGTGCCAGCCCCCCACCATTCTCTGCTCTAGCCACAGACCTCTCATACTGTTCTAAATTGCCATATTCTCTGCATGGCTCACTGTAGGTGGGATATACTTCATGATCTGCTTCCTTCACTAGCAACACAAAATGACATGGGAATGGACACATAAAGTGCACGATGTCCAGCCCAAGGGGCTCAGAATCAGAAGGCACACGGAGTGAATGGGAAGCCATAACCACACCACCATGCAGAGCCACAGCTGACAGGAACGCCTCTGAACGTCAAACACGTGTTTCAAAGCACTGAGGTCTGAGGACTGTTTGCACCAGCAGAGCCGTGTCTCAGGGAAGAAGAGCTCACCGAAAAGTAGAGTATGAAGCAAGAGCTGGGTTAGAAAATGAAGGTGTGGGAAGACAGCTCAGTGGACAATGTGCATGCCATGCCAGGGTATGGACCACGGTCTGAATAGACAGACCCCTCCTAAAAACTGGCTGTGGTAACATGCATCTATCTATACCCCCAGACCACCTGTGGTGAAAGAGAACAGAAGAAAGAAGAACCCTTAGGGCTCCCCAAGGCAGGTAGCATGTTATGTGCAGGAGTGAACAACAAGTAGCCCTGCATCAAACACACACCATTATGCATATGCACCAGCACACTCACATGAGCATGCACACACACACACACACACACACACACACACACACACACAGAAATGGAAAATAATTAACAAAGATTTTAAAGTATGGATGAAAATGTTATAATGGAATCCATTACTTTTTAAGCAAACTTACAAAGAATAAATAAATGAAAGCAGACAACAATTGAGTCTTGGTAGATTCCAGAGATTTTTCATTTTCTTCAGGTCTCTATATCGCTACTGTTTCTTCTTTGTTTAATTTATAGGAAAAACACACATCATCAATGCAGCAAAATAAATCTGGATGAAAGAATTCTATGCGGCAAATGAAGGAGAGGGGAGAGACTGTCTTAACAACACAAGACACAACCAGTTTTCTACTTACTGAACCTCCTCAGGGAGGGCTGGAGAGAACGGCAGTATAAGGTGAAGCAAAGATGCACAGGAAGTGGTTGAAAAGTATTCAAGGGCCGTCCGCACCAAGCCTGATGTTTGCTGAGCACCTGGTGTTTGCCTAGCTGAGTACTTTAGTAGATCATTTCTGATCCTTGGAAGAACACATCTGGTTAGGAAGAAAATAGTTAAAGCAGATTCCAGAGTACCCGCACGCCAGATTAGCAGGGTGGGCCAGTCTCTCAGTGGTAAAGAACAGTTTTGATGGTCTCTCAGCACAGATCAGAAGGCGCCCAACTCTAACCTCCACCACCTCTTGTGCCCTGTCTGCTCAGTAAATGTTTATCAAGGAGACTACTACTATAATTTGAGAAGTAAAGCCCTGACTGAGTACAGAGTCAAGTGGCCATATGCTATGATTTTGATTCTGGGTTTGAACTCAGGGCCCTGCAGGAGCTAGCGGGGGCACTCAACCACTGAGCTACCTACACCAGCCCAAATCACTGTTTGCGGTAGCCAAAGGCCCTGCCAGAGCCATCATAAAGGGATGGGTCCCCAGGGTGGGTGTTTGTGCTGGATGAACGAGAGGAGGTTTATAGGTGAGTGGTCTTTAAAGAAGGATTGGCACCTGGATAGGATGTGTCACACCTTTGGCCCATGGCAGTAGATATCCTCACCACAGGAGATCAAGACACTGCAATTCTATTGCTTTGTGCTGAGGGATCTCCCCTCCCATGGCATTCCCACAGCTTTCACCTCCCTTACCATACCCATCTTATATCTGGTCTTCCTGCTGCCTCCAACCTCACACATTACTGTTGGGCTACCTCCAACACACACATGCATACATCACACAGAACACATAAGCATGACACACATATAATAATAACAGTAAGAGCAGCCTAGGCAAGACACAATCTGGTCAAACTTGGTACCTGGAATTGCCACCTTTTCCACTCTTGTCTGAAAACACACTTCAGATGCTAGAGCTTCTAGAAGCTCCTGGAGAAGCTGGCTTTGTCCCAGGCTGACTCCTGAGTCCCAAAGATTGCTATGGGGACAAAGAGAAGACAAATAGGCCAGAGAGGAGAACGTCCAGTATCCCACAAGCAAACAGAAGCTCTCAGTCCCCATGTCCCCAAAGAACAGTAAGGAAAAGTGAACAAACCAGTCCCTGGGAGAGTGGGGCAGTGAGGCTGCTGTCACAAACTTAGTGGCTAACATGTGACTTTACACAGCCAATTTTCACACTGGATTCCCAACGTAGATAAAAACGTAGTTTCATGAAATGTGGATAATAAACACGGAAGGGATGTCTGTGCCGGCTAGCCCAAAATAGAGCTTGGCAACCCTGTTATCCTCATATCTGTGAATCAGCTGATGCCTTTCATCCCTCATTCTGTGAAACTCTGTGTCTTGGGAGTATAGCTTATATTAAGAGAAACAAGCCCAAGTTATGGAAATCTGGCCTTATTTAGATCTCAATATTGCTTAACTCCTCAAACCAACTGATAGCACCCACACAGGCAATCAACATAAAGAAAATCTTTCCAGAAGACGCCAGTGACAGACAGGCATGGGTACCCAGTATCTCCAAGGAATGGACCAGGGATAGTTGAAGAGCAGCTACCATAAGGGGTTGGTAGTAGTGGAAAACCTCTAGTTCGATAACTAAATAAAATAGGAAAGCCTGCAAAGCAAGACAGAGGGAGACAGTCCAGAGTCCATCCCGAGCCAATCAGCCGTGTGGGAGCAGAGGGGGAGTGCAACTGCAGGAGGCTGCCTGTACAGCTCCTACACAGAGCCTCAGAAAGCTCACCCTGTGTTGTCAGTAAGAGACATTTGATAGAACAGGAGGAAAGTGGGCACCAGAAGCCGAGTGAGGCGATGGCAGAGGCACTGGCAGAGTGAGGTCAGGCACCAGGAAAACGCCTCTCATCACTCTCAAAGCAACAGCAAGAAGCTATTTTTAAAAGACTCCTGCTGAGTCAGAGGATGGCATGGGACACAGAGGAAGAAGACCCTCCCTGAAGAACACACCTTGGAGCCCACAGAAACTGTCACAGGACTGCATGCCACAATCTGTCCTGCAGAGTACCTCTCGATAGGGGTGAGTGGGTGCATTTGAGTTAAAAACCGGGGAGTATACTGGGAGGTACAAAGCTGATCCGAGCAGTTGTGGGGAGTGGAACACGGACACAGGTTGCAAACATTTACCCTCAGCCTCTGGAAGGACCGCCTAGTGGTGTGAGAAGCATTCATAACCTGACCAACAAAGTGTCCCCAGAGGTGGGATCAGCATCTGTGGCCAGGCCTCACAAAGGGCCTCCCAGCGGCATGACCAACCTTATTCATGGACTGCAAAGAGGAAGGACTGGATCTGAAGAAAAGACCATCCAGGGGCATGACTGACACCTGCCACCCAGGGAAGGACTGCCTCCGGACCTTGTGTCATTTGTGAGTCCTAGAATTCCCTAGAGACACATAAAGCCAGAAAGGAAACTACAAGGAGATGGGAGACTTGCAGGAGGTGGAAAGAGGGAGGGAGAACAAAGGGAAGGATTGGAGGCAGGGTAAATATAGTCAAAGCACCTAGCATAGTTGAAAGAAATTGTCTATATGTAACCCAACACTATGTATAATGATACATGTCTGTAAAAAAATGAAACCTCAAGCCCACCCTTCTCATTTCTATTCTAACTCCATTTACCTGGCTTTATAAAAAGTCCCACTGACATTACTGCTTACGTAGATCATGTATGAACGGCAACGCTTTTGTTTTTCAGTGAGTGCGCTCACACATGCCCATGTGTGTGAAGGGTGTGTGCGTGTTCACCTCTATATGTGGGGGAACACGCACGCTTGCACAGAGGTGTGTGGAGGCCAGAGGTCAATCTTGGGTATCACTCCATGAGTGCCGTCCTCCCTGTTTTCTCAGACAGCATCTCTCGCTGGGACCTGAGGCTCAGTGAGTAAGTAAGGCTGGCTGGCCGGGGAGCGCAGAAATTTTACCTTTCTCTGCCTCCTCTTCAGTACTGGGATCACAAGTGAGAGCCATCATACCTGGATCTTTACATTGGTGCTGGTCTTCATGCATTCAAGGTAAGCATTTTACACACCGAGCTAGCATCTCACCCACAGCAATGTGAATTATTAGAATCCTTTGCTACTTTGAAGACAGGACTGCATTTCTTAAATTGAAACTTGGTGTAAGTCCATTGGAACTAAACACCTTCTTCCTTCTCCCTCAGAAAACAGTAAAAAGACTAAACGGTCTTCCTACTTTCCTCTCACATGGTGAAAGGACTGTCACCAAAGAGCCAGCAATGATTTCCTTGTGGCATCTGTATATGCCCAAACAGACTGCACCCCATGAATTCATCAGGGGAAGGAAGCCCTCCAGGAATCTGTGAGCTATATTTGACCCAACTCACCAAGAAAAAGTGAGACTTTTCCCCACTTTATGCATTGGCATGGCTCAGCATGTTAGAACTTTAAAACTTTCCCAGTGTGTCAAGCATTGGAATGTTGGAGGGCTTCCTGAGGTCCACTAGCAGTGACTCATTTTTAAGCCATCTAGGGACTAACATTCTGCTAGCCTTCCACAACAAGGATGTCAGGCCACAGTATATCATGTCTCCTCACCATGCTGGCTTACTCTAAATTACCACTGGCAAGGGAACAGCCCTCATGTGAAACTTTGCCCTGCTTCCCAATGTCTACAATAAGTTCCAATGAAGCTGACAGTCAGGAATGTGGACACCGGGGCTGGAGAGATGGCTCAGTGGTTAAGAGCACTGACTGCTCTTGCAGAGGATCCAGGTTCAATTTCAGCACCACATGACAGCTAACAACCATCCGGTTCATATCTCCACTTCCAGGGGATCCAACACCCTCTTCTAACCTCCTCAGGCACTGCAGGAGATGTGTGCACTTACATACATGGCAATGTACGCATAGACATAAAAAATAAAAATAATAAAATTTCAAAAAGAATGTAGACACCATCCTGGAGGCAACTGTGTTCAGTAGAAGGAGCAAGACACGGAAAATACAAACAATGGAAGATTCATCTTAGGAGAGGTTCCATGGTAGTGCAGCTCATGCAGACTGGGTTTGGATAGATGAGTGGAAGGGACTACTGGAGAGACAGTGCTTAGCGAGGATAGAGTCCCAGTCTGGGAAATGCAAAGATGCTACAGATGAAGGGAGGTAATGGTTGCAGCGCATTGTCAATGCCCTAGGTGTAGGTGGACTGCACACTTAGAGTTGGCTAGGAAGGTACAATTTTGTTTATATACATTTACCATACTAGAAATACTGAGTTCAAAGGGTGCATACACTCAGTGGATTCCTCTATGAATGACACCTGGATCTCTGCCCAACACAACTTCTCTGTCCTCCCTCTCACTATTTCCAGAGAAAGGCTGTGTTCCTTTCTGCCCCTGAACCTCTTGCTCCTTCTCACCCTTAGCCTGGAACACTCCCACCTGTCATCTCCAAGTCTACAAATGCAGTCTACATTTCTCCTTCTTTTCTTCCCCTTGCCACTTTCCCCTTAAACTTCTCAAGAGGGTGTTGGGAGAAGAGAATCATTTCAGTCTCCTATTATTTCTCCATTTCATGGTCACAGCTTGTCCTGTGACCCTTCCCCCCAAAGACTCTGAAATCACTGATGTCTGGGGCTGAATCTCACTCTTGCCTAACAGAGAATTTTGAGGCAAAGCACAAGTCAAAGGTTTGACAGAGGATCAAACGGCAACAAAGGAGAGGACCATGGGAAGAATGATGTCCTGGGTCGGTGGGGGTGGGGTCCAACATCTGAGGAGAAAAGGGATCAGCATAGACACTCCAAGGCAGAAGAGGACAATGTCTTTTCTAAGTTCCCCAAGTGTTGAGGGAGAAGTCCAGCTGACCTCTCAACAGACTGTCAGCAGCCTCTCACCCCGCCCTCTTCCTCTGGGTCATCCACAGAGGGAAGAACAGAGTCCTGGAAGGAACTTCCAGGACAGGCGTGGGGAGGAAGAAACCATGAGTGACTCTGACCCTGCCTGCGGGGCAAGCACAGGAGCACATACAATGGAGAATGCCTGCACTGTTTGGGCGGTCAGTCGCTGCCAGCGAAAGGGCGCAATTGCCTGTGTTCCAAGACTCACTGGCAGGAGACTTCAAAATGAGACATGAAACTGTGCAGTGCAGTGGGTAAAACAGAAGCCAGAATAGGAATGACTGAGAGGGAAGGTGGCAGAAACCTTGGCCAGGCAGGGTTCCACCTGGCCCAAGGGGAGACCTGAGCTCCCACTACATCTGGCCCCATAGTAGGAGCAATCTGCAGAACACTGTGGGGCTGTATAGCACAGTGAGGCTGCCACTAAGCCAAGTGGGGCTCTAGGGCCCTTGATACCTGCCCAGTCAGTGTTGAGATGCGCTGTTCAAGACAGACGCCTACCAATTTCAGAGAGCTGGTGTTAAAACTGGAGGAGGAGGAGGGGGA